CAAACAGCAGCACCAAAGCTTTGTTTAGACTAGGGAAAATCCAGTAAGTGACTGATAAGGAGCTGTAAGGGTGGGATACCCAAAGGTATGTTTTCATCAGAAGAGCAGTGCCTCATTATAAAACAACCTGAGTACTTCTAACCCAATGAAGTGACCATCATTCATCTGATGCCCCAAAACAAGCGAAACCAGATTATTTTCCTTTAACTCCAGACATACTATCACCACACCCTCTCTCTGAGGGAAAAAATAAATGTATTTATTATTAATAAAAATAACACTATAGGGGCACAACCTTTCCTATCGAAACCAGATTATTTTCCTTTAACTCCAGACATACTATCACCACACCCTCTCTCTGAGGGAAAAAATAAATGTATTTACTATTAATAAAAATAACACTATAGGGGCACAACCTTTTCTATAGATACACACAAGTAACTCTCTATTTAGACTATTAGAAGGCTAACTTTTTGCACACAAACATTTCAGTCGATATAAGAGATGGGTATTCATGTTATCATGTTATTTTCTCATGAATTTATGTTTTATTGCTCCATTTTCAAAAGTATGGTACAGTATGGTACTGCACAGCAAATGCATGCTTGGAAACAACATGAATACAGGCAATGGAGGCAGTAAAATGAGTAAGATTACACAGCTGGTCTTTTGTTTCAACCTGGTTACTAGTTTCAGCAAGAAACTAATATATATTAACCAAAACAAACATCCACCAAAACCACAAAAGCCAATGTAATGCTTCACGTATGCTGATAATATTACATCAGAGCTGTGAGTAACCCGCCAAAGGAGGCTGTAGGTAGATCAAAAGTGCAAGCTGGTCCAAAATACACATATCCTCTTCACCACCAAGTCCATTCTCAGTCTGGCCTCTGTGATTCAGGCTGCTACACTCAATATTGCAAGGAAACACATAGGACCAACTGAAAACATTTTCCTCCTGGCCGTGTCAGTGAGGGAGGGAGCTTAATTGATGGATAAGGCAAAAATTATCTGTGATTTAACAGACATGTTCTTCCTCTTAAGATGAACTGGTAAGTCACAGAATTAAATGTAAAGTTACTTTACAGTGTTGAGAAAACATCATCATGTTTTGCTTTCTACAAGATGAAATTAAAGCCCTGGTTTTGGTCACTACATTAAGTAAGGGGGAAAACTGTATTTTAAATAAAGAGCTATCCTAAATTCCTGGCAAATTACAAGGTCTGGGTCAGCTCTAAAAGGAATTTGTGTCAGCTGGAAAAGGGCATCTATGTGAAAGATCAATCATGAAAACCAACCTCTTTAAAAAGTAGAAGTAATGCTTGTTGAATTTATCATCACCTGCAAGACTGGTTATGCTAATAATCCTTCACATTATGCCAAGTAGGCTGAAAATAATTAATAGTTCACAAACAACCTTCCCACAGAAGTTTCAGTGCCTGTGTTGTTTTGACTGATTACAGTAAATAAAAAAATATAATCCCAAACATTCAGGCCTTGAACACAAATTCCTCACACCTGAGGAACTTCCATGAATAATAATAATAAACCTGTCATACGGCATTACTTTATCAGGGTAATTGAGTTCCTGGGTCACACTATCACTGGGGAATTTCGGTCTCACTGGTCACAACTCTGTGTTGAAGTCCATCCTGTCCACAAAATGGAGAAATTGATTCAATTCATACACACAGGGGTCCTGGCCCTGGCTCCGCTGAGCTGCCACAAATGCTTAGGAGTCAGAGGGCGAGAACCAGGGTACTGTGATGCCTTCAAAAAACCCCCAGAGCTTAGCTGGTGTGGTATTTAGGGGGTACTCCTCAAACCCCGAAGGCTATCCATCTCACTGCTCAAGCTTTTTCCTCCTCTTGTCTGAACCAGCTGCGAAACAATGGTCAATTGGAAACATGTCTCAAGGCAGCAACGAGGAATGTCTGCAAGGACACGGAACTGTGAGAGGGGATGAAGAGGAAGAGAAGGAAATGGAGAATAAAGCAAAAGGTGGAAGTGAGGAAGGTCAGAAGGTTGTTTATACATTTACAATATCTCTAAAATAAAGTTACACCCTAGAGATGCAGGTGGCAAACTGATCTCATTAGAAAAACCACAATGGTTCAGAGACATGGTTCGTTTTTGCCAAGGATCCCATTTGCAGCATTGCTCATACCCAGATGTTGCAGAGGAAGGTTCCCAGCCACACTGTCTGACAGACTTAAATGTGATTCCCACAGGGCAGAAAAGTTTTGCTGAAATTCACCACCAGGTGAGAGAAATATTAGGCAAGGCAGAAAATATGATCCCCTATTCGGAACACAGCATCCACAACCATAAACTTATGAACCTGTTCATGATATTTTTCCCTGAAAACAGCATCCCAGCAGAACTCCCAGGCCCTACAAACTTCCATATATGCCTCAAAAGCGTGGAAAATAAACCTGGCTACTCATTGCTCTGTTAACCTAGGAACTAGGCAACTAGTGTCCAAACAGTACAAAATCCACCAAGGCATGAAAGGGACTAGTATTACCACATACACCAGGCAGGCTTTTGGAGCGAAGGATAAAGATTTATACATGCCACCTACTCCTTGGGAAGAAAGTGCCCCAGCGGGATGACGTGGCAGTCAGCGTTTAACTCCGGGATGCTGTCAAGGCGAGAAACGGACAAGACCGACTGCATTCATTTCTCATCCCTCCATTAATATTGGATCTTAATAACTGCTGCCTGGGGCTGCTCAAAAAAATCCCATCATGATGTTTTTCTACTGAAGACTGTGGCTTTCTCCAGGGGGATAAAAAAAAAAAAAAGTTTCCACTAAAAGCAGAAAAAAAAAAAAAAATAAAAAAAGGTTTCCACTAAAAGCGCTCACTCTAGTATTTTATTTCTAAAAACACAAGATCTACTACTACCTTTTGTTTTCCAACAAAAACTTGGGTTTGAAGCGGTGCCTCACTAGAGCTGTGGTTCAGTCACCCTGGATGCACCCTCCAGAGCACACCTCCCACGGGGCGGTGTGACATCACCCAAAGGGGAGATGATGACACATTGGGCAGATACAGCCCAGCCAGGGACGCCAGTCTGCAGTTGAGTCAAAGCTGTCAACCAAAAGTATCCAAAACTTTAAAAAAAAAAAATATACAGCAAGTGTTGGCGAAAGTCACGTGCTTTGCTTTAAAATTTTCTTTAATACAAAAGTATCCAAAACTTTAAAAAAAAAAAAATATACGGCAAGTGTTGGCAAAAGTCACATGCTTTGCTTTAAAATTTTCTTTAATATATCTGGTGATCAGGTCTGTTCCTCATGATTTCTGAGGAACCTTGAAGCTGCCACTGCTACACCAGGACACAGGAGACCCCAATGGTAGAAGCCATAGACTCTTCCCATGCTTGGGAATTGCAAGTAGTTTGCTGTTCCTCCTCCATTTCTTCCCCTCCTCAAGCATGGCAGCTCCAGCACCTGTCTGCTCTTAGTGCCAGCAGGGACTAAGCTCACCAGGGAACAGTGTACATCGCCCTGACAACATCAAAGATTAACTCACTGATCTTTAACATACAAAACCTGTTACTGGAACATCGCATTCAAATATTAGATGGAGATTCTGATCCCAGAGCAATGGGTAGCCCATAGTGCCTCAGTAGCTGTCTGAGCTCTCCTACTGGGTGGAATGTTTGCAAGAAGTAAATCCAAGTGCACACATGTGTGGGCAATCCAGGCTCAGCCCTTATCAGACCCCTCCCAGTCTGCTTAAGTCATCGAGTCAAATAACCTCCAATATGTTACTGTTGCCAGTAAAATACAATAGCCTGAAACTGAAAATAACTCTGGTCTACCAAGACTTCAATCCGAGGGACAAAGTCACTGGTAATTCTGAGACCACTTTCTATGATGAGACACTGATTGCCTCATTGCTCCAAGCGAGCAGTTTAATTGGAACAGAAAAACAGGGTGATTAATCACAGCTAAGGAAAACACCTTGCTACAGAAGACAGGCAATGTTAATGCTTTACATCATTAAAAAAAATTTGAGGTTACCGCTCAGGACAGCGCATGTGGAAAACATTTAAGGAAAAAAAGATGAAGTGTTCTTTAATTGGTGAATTCTTCCTATTAACGCCCTAAACGGTTTGACACAAGCTGGCAGGCAGGAGGTGTGAGCCTCAGACACGCTGCCAGCCACGCTTCCCCACTCCTGCCAGCTGCCAGACCTTCTTGGGGTTTGCAAGTTTCCCCACTGGAGGCCTGTTCCCATTGCTTTCTGGTAAATTATGCTCTGTACTCTCATCTCCTTGGCTTTTCATTCTTTTATGTTTGTTCAGGTTTGGTTTGGGTGGGGTTTTTTTCCCCTCCTTCTGGTTTCTTTTTGATGTAGCAGCAGCATCTGATCTTTTTCAATCTCAACCCCTCTTCTCATGACCCCACTCTCCCCCCAAAATGGGAAGAGACCCTAGAAGCACCTCCAGGGAGGAGGGATTCCCCTCCTGGGGATGCACCGCCGTGAAGGGCTGGGAAGCCGCTCAACCAGCATCCTCCAAGTGGGACAGAGGAGCTCCTCACCAGATGAAAAAGCCCCAGGCGCCAGCGAGAGGGAAGGGACCGCACCGGAGTGCACGGAGCCGGGAGCCAGGACGGAGCCGGCTGTTGGGGAGCCGGGGCAGGGAGGAGCTCGGCTCTCCCACCGCAGAAGCCCATTCCCGGCCGGGAGCAGCCAGGGCAGGGGACCGGGCTGTCCCGAGCCCCCAGCCTGGGCTCTTCCTCAGCCCGGAGCAGCGCCGTCCCCGCCGTCCTCGGCCGGGGAGAGCTCGGTAGCAAAGTCCAGCGCCTCCGCCGCCCTGCCCCGGACGGAACCCAGCCGCGGAGCGGAGCCGCTCTCCCAGCTCGGTAAGGCTCCGGGACGGGCGCGCCCGCCCAGGGGCTCTCAGTCCCGGGAAGGGGTTGTGGGGGGAGGAAGGGAAGGCAATAAAATGAAATAAAGAAGAAAGAAGCCCCGCTGTCCTACCGGCACCGCGTCTCCCGCAGGCTCCCACCGACAGGGCGTCCCCGGCAGCGCTGCCCCGCAGCCCGCTCCGCCCCGCGGCCGCCGCCTCTTCCTCCTCCTCCTCCTCAGCCCGGCCCCGAGCCAAGCCACGTTGGGACACTGGGTACCCCGGGCTGCGGCGGGGCTCCCGGCACCCTGTTCCCCCCCGAGGGGCTTCGGGCCAGGTCCTTCGGGCTTTTTCCCAGGCATTAGCACTTTTGGGGGGCGGCGCTGCCTGCCTGGGGCACCCCAGGGCCAAGGGGGGTCCCGCGGGGCGCTGCCAGCATGTCACTGCCCTGCAGAGGTACCCCCAAAGGGCAGGTTACCCTCACCCTGGGCAGGAGAGCAGGCAGCCCCCAAAGTTGACAAGTATGGGTTTTTTTTTTTCAGGCGTGATTTTGCACTTGATAGTGAAACACTGACTCACACTAAATGCTACCCAGCTATTCCTCACTCTGTCCCCCTTTAGCTCCTTCCATCAGGAAAGGTGATTATCACAATAAGAAGTGCTGCTCCATTGCACACCAGTCTCCAGTTCCCCCAGAAGAACAGGCTGGGAAGGACCCAACACATGACAGCGATGGGGGATGCACGGCCCACGTCTGCCACAGCCACCCAAGGGCACACCATCCTTGCCATTCAGCCACTTATCCATGGTGCCTGCCTTCCCCACAAACATCATGTGTGTCACAGGCCCCCATCTGCCACAGAAGCTCATGCAGAAGCCCCCTGTTAGCCCCTCAGGCCGATACCCTGGCCATCCTGCAGACACCCCCCCCAAGACCAGGGGATGCTCTGGCCTGCCTGAGCCACCACAGTACATTTTCCTGGGACCAGCAGAAACCAGCTACCCCCAGCCCATGGGGACACCTTGCTAACCTCCAACCATCAAAACGCCATCACACAAAGCACTCTTCTCCACACTTCAGTCCCATCTTGTGCCAACCTTCACTACTTCACACAGCCGCCGGGTTTTGGGCCACCACTTTGGTGACGGTGTTTTAATAAGTCAAAAGCTCTAACTTCAGGTGTAGTGGTCACAGATGTGCAAAATCCAGTCACCACATTTGGCGACGTGTCAGGTTGGCAGAGCACAAAGCTCTGCTGCTGTGGGCTGCCGGCTGTATTTGGTGGGAAGGTTGGGGGGGTTCTGCTCAGAGACATAAGGCAACTGTCAGAGCTAAAAGGAGGACCGTAAGCAGCCCCCACAGAAGGGGTGGCCTCAATCACTGGGAGCAAAGGCAAATGTGGCTTCTAAGAACAGCCTGAATCCAAAAATTGTCCTAGCAGGAGGCCTGGAACATCCCACAGGACAAGTTGAACCTCATATTCCTGTTTTATTGGCTGTCATAAGCAGTGAGAACTGTGTTCCTCAGCAGATGAACTTGACTTAATGGTCTCTCATAACTTATAGTACTTGCAGAAAGCTTAATGAGACTTTTCAAACCTACAAAGTTGGAATATATGCTAAAAATGTGGCAACATTATATTTTTAAAGCCTGACATTCTTTTAGTGCTAAGTATGGGTAATAGGTTGCAATGAACAGTAGCAACTCCAAACCCTCTCCTACAGCTGTGCTGGTCACAAATACGGGTCTGAACCAGGCAGGAAAGCCAATGGCACAAAACAAAGGAACCCAAAGCAGCCTCCACCTGGAGCTTCCTTTCCCAGGCTCCTCTGGAACCTATGCTCATGGGCTTGCTTTGTGGATCCCGAGTGCCAGACCTCTTCCCTATCCCATGGAATTTTATCTGGCATAAACCCACACCATTTCCCCTTGCCCACTCGAGTGCTCTCTGCATTGCCCCCCCCTTTCCACTGTTGCAAACTTCTTTCCCACCGGACAACTGGGATGAGTGCACTAATCCAGGTAAACCAGTGCTTTTTACTTGTTTTCCCAATGTACTTGTGATTCCTCCTTAACAACTGCCTTCTTAATGCAAAAAGAATATACCCTGTTGGTTTTTTTCAGCATGGAAGAGCCAGTACTCACTTCTGTATCTGGAAGCAGTCATTTAATGATCTAAATTCAGACACCTATCCTAACACCTATATAAATCACTGGCAGATGTGAAGACCCTATAAGCAGCTGAGAGGGAACAACTAGGAGAAACAATCTCAGTTAGGACCTTATGAAGTGTTTTTTGCCAGTAAGTCTCAGAGAATGCTGGTGCTTTTGAATTTATATCTGCATCAGAATTGACAGGTTTTGAGTGAGGTATAGCTCTCCATGACTGAATCTTGACAGCACTTTACTAACAGCTTTTATGGCATCCGTAAGTTAAATGACACTTTGAAAGGACTCTGCTTCCTTTCAACACCCCAGTACCACCACCTACGCCAAGGGAGCTAATGCCTCAATTTAAAAACCCCAGAGAACAACCAGCAGCAAAGGCACTGCTGGCTCTAATTCTTCACAGAGCATCCCTAAGACAGCTCCTTAACCCAAACTTCCAATTTCCCCCCACAGAGCATGGTCAATGCTTTGCTTCTTTCACCCTCCATCAGACATCTCAGCACAGATGATGCTTTCCAAGTAAGGCACTCCCCATGCACTGAACACAGCTACGGCACCCAAGTATCACCTGAAAGGGTACAAATAAGTACTAAGATACTGCAGAGACGAGTCTGACTGGCTCAGTTTCCTGCCCTTGCTGTGAGGAAATCTTATTTTGAATGTCCACTAGCATAGTTGGATTTTTCAGCCCGCAGACAGCTTGTCTGCCCGGCCTGATTTACATACTCCCGACCACAGTTTCATCTCACCTAGTTGTCACCTATCAGCATATTTAGCATTCTTCAGATCCTCACAATCCATGCCTCTCCCTCACCACTTCCCAGGATCTTTGTATTCCTGTCATTAATTAGTCTTGCCTTTTATTCTTCTTGCTTTTTCCTTTTACTGTCCTCTCTCATTACTCACCTTGAGGAGGGTGAGTTTCCTGGAAGAAGGCTTAGTCAGGCAAGACCTTTTTGGGTATCTGAGCAAGTAAGGGAGCCAGGAGCTGTTTACATATTTTCTGATAAGCAGTGAGAATGTCCTGGGGGTCCTGTAAAGTCCTCAAGGAATTGGCTTTGTGTTCTTCCATGTTTCTTTCATGTCTGTGTTTGCCCAATTCTAATCAACTAACAGTGTTAAGCATGCTTTGCCATATTGCTATAACATTATTTGGAGGAAAAAGCAGCATCGTAGTCTTGAATTTAGCCATTAAAGAGATGATAGTGCAAATATTTAGCATTTAAAAATCATGTAAATGACTTTTAAAGTATGATTTTTTTTTTGTATTAATTATCAGTTAATTTCTGCCTGAACTATTAGGTTACAGCTGCATCTCATTTCTGATTTTTTTAATGCAACCATTAGGGCAAAAATTATATTTTAGCGTATATGATTAATTTAAATTCTTGACGTTTTTATAAGGACTACAACTGGGGATTTGGTGGGTTGGTTTGATGTTTTGGGTTTTTTTAAGGTTGATGTTTTCTTTTATAAACATATCTTTAAAGATCTGGAGTCTTACAAGAAAACCCAAAAGCAGAAATCTCTCTCCCCCACACACACAGAGCAGAAGATGTGCTAAGACTAGTGTCTGGCAACACCACCCAGAGCTCCTTCTGCCCTGGCCGGGGGTAACTGTGTGAATGGGGAAGCTCAGCATTTTGTTTTCACTATAAGAAAGGGAGAAGGCAGCCAAAAAGGACCGTTCACAGAAAGTGGCAGCACAGCAGCAATCCCCAGGCACTGAGCAGCCCTGTAGGAAGTGTTAAAAGTAAACCCATGAGCTGCTGCAGGCCGAGCAGGGGAAGGAGACAGCAGGCTGAGGGGCAGAGCTGCTGGCTGCCCCCCAGGCCCTGCTGGGTTTGCAGTCCCTTCTGGTGGCCACAACTCCTGGGTATGGAAACGCAGGGGAAAACTGGCATGTTACTCCCAAACATCTCCCTTTCAGTAAGTGATCTTTGCATATCATGAACACAGCAGATTCCCAAGTGTTTCTTGCTCCCTATGAAAGTAAGACTAGGCTACGAGATGACTGACTAAGAGCAGAGAACCATCTGTTGTAAGCAACACACATGACCACTTCTGAAAACACGGCTGAAACTCTCTCGGAGGCAGATCCTGAGATTTTAACTGTTTTCACTCAGACCATATTCAAATCAGGCTGTGCCGACAACAAACAAAATGAAAACTAAGCCAAGCCACAGTCTCGGGAGAAGGTGCAAGCAGCTGTGAGCAGAGAGCACAATAACTGCCTCTGCAGAGGCTGCCCGCTGCTTTCAGGGAGCGGGTTATTGCTCTGGTGGGAACTCTCCTCTTCCCACTAATTTCATTCTTTAATTTTTCATTAGATACTTGACCTGTTATGACTTTCTAAGTGCATAATTCAAAGTTTCATCTTACTAACAGCACTTACCGAGCTCTAGCACTTAGTAAATACCTCTAACACACCTGCTTCGAACCTCGGTTGAGATTACAATATAAAAACTGCCAATTTGATCAACTCACATCGGTTGGTCACCCATCAGCCCTCGACAGTCCCATTCATCCTGTCTCTGACATTCACCTGGTACAGCGTCTGTTGAAAGCACACTAGAGGAACATCTATTAATTTTTGGTTCTTTTAATCATTAAAACCAAAGCCTGCTACAGACACATTTTTCTGAATTATAAGAAGGTTTCTCTAGGAGCAGCTTGAGCACAACATTGACTTTAAGGCACCACAGATACGTGATTTGCACAGAAGCACAGCACATGGAGCAATCGGGTGGCAACCTTCCTGCCAAGGAACAAATTCCACCATCTCAACCCAGATGAGCCTGACACTAATACGGTACCTTGAAGAGGGTAGAGGCCTAAAACATGTAACTCCACATGTCCATCTGCTGCCATACCAGATCTCAGCCCAAATGTTTACAAGTGAAAATCCTTCTAACTCCTTTTTAGAACAATCGTACTCATTCATATTCTAGTAAGCTACTGATGGAAATGGTGTAAGTTCCACACAGTCCTAGGTATGATACTTTGTTCAGCTAAACATTACTGAG